TAAGGTACGCAACTTCAGCTACGTGAATAACGTAGCTGAAGTTCGAAGTACCTTAGTTCGAACTTACCTTGGTCCACACTCAGCAGGCAGGCTCCCCCGTCGGACTCCGCGGTACTCCTCTCGCCGAGCTGGAGTACCGCAGGTCGACGGGCGAGCACTTCCGGGTTCGACTTATCGCGTCCAGACTAGACGCGATAAGTCGAACCCAGAAGTTCGATTTCCAGCCGTCGAACTAGCGGGTAAGTGTAGCCAAGGCCTAAGAAAACCAAAAACAAGGCGGGCTTGTATCCTTGTTCCATTTTAAAATTCCAGGGAGTGTAGATAAAAACTATGGCATTTTATAATCACATAACACATACCACAACAACACATGCTATCTCAGGGGTCAGCAACCTTTCCGAAGTGGTGTGCCGAGTCTTCATTTATTCACTGTAATTTAAGGTTTCACGTGCCAGTAGTACATTTTAACGTTTTTAGAAGAGCTCTTTCTATAAGTCTATAATACATAACTAAACTATTGTTGTATATAAAGTAAATAAGATTTTTAAAATGTTTAAAAAGCTTCATTTAAAATAAAATTAAATTAAAATGCAGAGCCCCCTGGACCGGTGGCCAGGATCCGGGCAGTGTGAGTGCCACTGAAAATCAGCTCGCGTGCTGCAGGTTGCCTACCCCGTGCTATCTTGTTACCAGGTCTACAAACAGACTGTGGGCTTGTCAATTTATTGCATCTAGTCTAGACGTGGTAAATCAACTGCAGAGCGCTCTCCCGTTAACTCGGAGTGTGAGGTGCAGGCAGAGTCGACGGGGGAGCATCAGCCTTCGAAGACACCGCGGTAAGTAGATCTAAGTACGTCAACTTCAGCTACGTTATTTACATAGCTGAAGTTGCGTAACTTAGATCTATTTCACACACACACACCCAGTTTAGACCAGATTAACACTAATTTAGTTCCCATTACTATTCTCTAGTTCCTTACCCATAATTCCCTAACAGCAAAGGTAAAACTATTCTTAAAACAACCTACCAAAATGCTATCCATCTCTGCCCAGAGTGGGTAAAATCTTATTAGTTATTTTCATTTTCCTCACTCATCCTGATAAAATGGAAAGAATAGATTTTGTGCCTGGACTTGTAAATGTTCACAACAATTTTTGCAATGTTGCTTAACGCTAAAACTTATTAGCACATAAGCCTTTTACAAGTGCACAGCTATAGATACTAGCCCACACCTAACACCCTAGTCAGGCCATTTAAATATTCCTGTCATCAAACAGTTACAGATCATCATGTGACACTTAGAAGGTCAAGTGCATTTCTGGTGGCTCGAACCCATGGTGTTGCTCTCCACCTTTTCCCAGTGAAAGAAATCCTCTTTAGCTGTTCTCTCCCTCAACTTCACACTTACAAAAATGTCATCATTGGATAATATTAAACAAAATTAAATACATGTAAATAGTAGATGGATAAATGCATCCCAATAAAAATAAGTTAAACGAATTGAAATTGCTGGGTGGAAACACTGGGCTATATGTTGTTAATGATTTGCTTCATCAAATCTTATCAGTAGGTGGTAATAGACGATAGAAAACACAACTTATTATAATGCTTTTTTCCTTCTGTTTCCCAGCAAGGTGTCTGTTATTTTATGTATTGATTGCTTCTCATCTATATCTCTCCTGGCCTCAGTTGCTACATAATAGTGTTGCTCTCTGATGTTAAACAGTTCCCACGTTTCACCCCACAGGTGGCTGTATTTCAGTGAAGGCTGAAGTAATTTCTGTGTATGGTTTGTGAAGTGCACTGGGATCTTTTGGGATGAAAGGCGTGATATAAAAGTAAGATATTATTCATCTGCTTTTTCCAGTACACACGGTGCTAATATCTTTTGCTTTCTTCTCGAGTTCCCCAGATTAAATTGTCAAGAGTCTCAGTAATAGCCTGAACTTTTGCTCCAGGCAGACTAATAATCACAGTTCTGTTAGCTCAATCCTTATAAAGAAATGGCTATTCTCAAGACGCACAATTGATTTCGCCTACTGGCTTTCTCATCCACATCCCTTGTATTTCCTGTGTACAGCCTTAGCCCTTGGATGTTGCTCAACTTCCATTTCCCCCTTGCCATGTCAGCTCTCCTTCAGCTCAACATAAAGCCTGAGTTGGTCCTGAAATAACAAGGACCAGAGTGAGGATGCTTCATCAGGCTTCTGAGTCCTTTATCTCCTTTTCTTCCATCTGCTGAATTAGAAGAGGAAAGGCTTGTCCTGTGTAGGCAAAGCACTGTGAGAAACCAATTAATCAGCTCCTTCTGGCTACCCAAGAAGCGTCTCGTTCTCTTCACAAACAGAAAGGGGCCACATAAAATCACTTCCTTGAGCTGTTCTGCACAGCCCTGTGGGAAATAGAATAATTAGCTCCAGTTAGCTGCCAAGCCAACACCTCTTTTTCTTCCCTCCAAGTCCCCTCCCTTGACCCC